ACACATAGACCCTTCCTTCATCTTAAAAGCTGACAGCATAGCATCTTCAAATCTCTCTCTCTCTGCTTGAGGTGGTTATATCACCTTCTTTCTTCTAGAGTAGAATCTCTGACTACCTCCTTATTATAAGGGTACTTATTACATTTATTGTCCATGGCTTTGTGTTTGGTATCTGCACATTTGAAGAGGCACGCCTTCCAGTCTTTACAGAATGGCTTCAGTAGTGAAATCCCCTCACAAGTTGGCCTATCCAGAGATTCTGGGTGTGTCAGCTAGTGGGGTTCATGGGTAGGCTTGTTCTTAGTGTCTGGGTCAGAAAATTGGTGGGTTTGACACCTGGGTGCATGGGATGGGCCTGGTGCCTACCTGGGACTGCAGGGGGCAGGCCTGGAGCTTGGAGCTAGCACTGGAGTCTACTGGGCTGAGCCTGTTGATTGGGTTTGTGCAGCCTGCCTGGAGCCTAGGATTGCAGGGGATGGACTGATGCTAGGGTTCACTGGTCTTGGCCTGGGATCTGGGTCTGTCAGACAGAGTCGACTGTTGCTGTAGCAGGCTTTGAACCTAGTATGCAGGAGCCAGCTTTGGTGCTTGAGTTAGCCTGGTGTCTGAGTCCATGGGGATGGGCCTAGTCATGAGTTCTTGGGGGCCAGCCTGGTTATGGGGTCCATTGGGGCAGGACTGGTACTTGGGTAAATGGAGGTGGGCCTGGTGGCTGGGACTGTGGGTGCTGGCCTGATACTGGGACAGGCCTAGAGCCTGGGACCATGGGTACAGCCTGATGTCTGGATCTGTGGGAGCCAGTATTGTGCTGGAGTGGGCTGGGATATTGTCTGTATTGGCTGGACTGGAGCCTTGTGTCTGGGTCCACAGGGGCAGGCCTGGATCCTGAGCCATAGTGGTGGACCTGGAGTCTGGGTCCTAGAGGCTAGCCTGGCACTGGTGCAGGCCTGGAGCTTAGGCCTGCAGGGGCTTGCCTAGAGCCTGGGTTCACTGGGAAGCGTGGTGCTGGGGTCAATGGCAAAGTTGGGTGCTCTCTTCACTCTCCTTCCACTATGTGGAGGGCATAGTTCTCCACAGTTTATTGAGGGCATGGGGAAGGGGAAGGTGTTATGAAATTGTCCTTTTTACCCTCTTTAATGCATCTTTTATTTCTGTGCTCCTCCCAAATGCTATAATTGGTCATTTGGATTTCTTATTTCTTGTGAAGATGAAAAACTTCAAGTGTGGATGGTTGTTCATATTAATGTTTTTATTTGAGAGCAAGTGTTAAAAACTCCTATTCCACAATCTGGTTATCACTGCTCCAGTTCAAGTGTGTGTGTGTGTGTGTGTGTGTGTGTGTGCGCGCACGCATGTGCACAGTTCTATGATCTTTTTACACGTGCATAGATTTGTAAATATTTACTGTATTTGTATTTGTTTCCCCAAAACAGTTTATAAAACAATTCCAACACCTCAGAGAATTCTCTCATGCATCCCCTTTCTATTCAGACCTTCCCCCCCACCCTTAACCCCTGGCAACCACTGATATGTTCTACTTATATTTTTGCCTTTTCCAGAATGTCATATAAATGAAATCATACAGTATGTAATTTTTGACTTTTTAAAACTGGTTTCTTTCCTTTAGCATACATAATTTATATTTATAGCATAATTTATATAGCATAATTTAGCATATAATATGGGTAAATTCATTTTTATTGTTTACTGTTCCATTATGTAGGTGTTCTAAGTATATCTATTTATCCACTGAAAAACATTTAGGTTATTTACTGTTTTTAGTGATTAAAATGATACTGTAGATACTTGTGTAGGTTTTTGTGTGAACATAAATTTTCATTTCTCTGGTATAAATATCTAGAAGTGGGATTGCTGGGTCATATGGGAAGTATATGTTTAACTTTTTAAGAAACTGCCAAATTGTTTTCTAGAATGACTTCATCATTTTTCATTCCCCTTAGCAATGTATGAGAGTTCCAGTTGTTCCAGATCCTCTCAGTGCTTGGTATTGTCACACATTTAGGGTTTTGAAAAGTCCCAGAGTATAAACTGATGAATATCTCAGATGGTAGAACATCCTAGGTGAATGTTTAGAGAAGTGTTGACGCCTGTGTTTTTAGCTATTGCATGTTACTTTTGAGGCAGGGCAAGGCAGGCCTGTTTCTATTGCTGGACCACAAGTTGAGTGGAGGGATTCAAGCCTTAACTGGCAAGAAAGACTCAAAGTTGAGATGCACTGTGCATACTCTGATACTAGGGGACAGGAATGAAGGTAACAAATTTATTTACATACACACATTACCAGAAAATACACAGGAAATGAAGGAACCATGTTTGTAAGATGGAGTTCATTTACAGTTGGAAAAGCTCTAACATTATCTTCATGATGTTTGGATGTCTGGCATTGACCAGGATTGAGATAAGGGCAGAGACAGGTGAGATGCTATTTAAAGTCTAAAGTTCCCCTGTAGGCCACAAAACCAACTTGTTTAATAATTCTAAGTGACTACACAGACTAGCTTGATTACATAACCAGTGAACAGACGGGCATAGAAGCCCATGCAAAGAAATTCTGCCTTGAGTTCTCCTGAAGTAGAGAGTCACACAAATCTTAGTGGTTCAACCTGGAGATAGAGTGCAGTCTGTGTGTGAATAAGGACACTGAGGAGCTTGCACCTGGATAATTTTCAGACTCCCTAATTGCTTACCTACCCTTTCTTTCTCTTGGTGAGTCACATCCTTTACTTTTAAATGAAAGCATTACATGGATGTGCTCTGTGGAATCTTGTCAGTCCTTTGCACATGTTAATTCTCTTTCATCTCATGATCTCGCAGTTAGGGCTATAAAATATGAATTTGTGAATTAATTCCTAGCCTGGTATATGTATTTAGGAGTAAGTGGACTTGGATTCCAAAATCATGTTCACTCCTAAGGGCTGCCAAAACTTCATTCACCCACACATAGATTAGTTAGCTTAAAAGTCCTCATTTTATATATTTATTCATTCATAAGATGTTCATAAAAATTAATGAAAAAGAGCAGTGCCCAACTTCTTCAAAAGAAATCTTCATACAGGGGTATGGAATATAATCCAATCCTGTTTCAGACCAAAATATAAAATACTGGGCCTGCTTTTCCTAAGAAGCAGCTTATATATGAAGAGCTGTTAGAAACCAAAATTCATTTAGACTTTCTTCAAAGCATTCAAAGTACCTTCCACAAGGATATGGCTGTACTAATCCATTAGATTCCATATCTTGATTTCTCTCTGCATCTAGTTCATGGAACCTCAGGGAAATGACTCCGCACAGGATTTTTTGAAGATAGACTTGCTTCCCTCTGCATTACCCACAGTAGGCCTTTTGGGGTGATTTTCATTTGTTTGCAAAATTGTGAAGAATGCATTTGCATAGGTAAGCTAACCAAGTTGGTAAGTATAATTTACTGCCAGAAAATGAGAAAGAAGATAGTATAGGAACATTTCAGTGAGTTGTTATTCAGGTATGTAATTGCAAATAAAAAATACAGCCAAATCTTCAACTGTATTTCAGGATCAGTTTTTTTTTTTCATGCCAAAAATCTCCTAGTAGTCACCACGCTTTTGTTCATTGACTCCAAATCCAAATATACATACCATTATTTTTATAACAGATACTCCTAGATTTTTTTTAATTTATTTTTTTAATTTACATCCAAATTAGTTAGCACATAGTGCAACAATGATTTCAGGAGTAGATTCCTTAATGCCCCTTGCCCATTTAGCCCGTCCCCCCTCCCACAACCCCTCCAGTAACCCTCTGTTTGTCCTCCATATTTAAGAGTCTTTAATGTTTTGTTCCCCTCCCTGTTTTTATATTATTTTTGCTTCCCTTCCCTTATGTTCGTGTTTTGTATCTTAAAGTCCTCATATGCGTGAAGTCATGTATTTGTCTTTCTCTAATTTCGCTTAGCATAATACCCTCCAGTTCCATCCACGTAGTTGCAAATGGTAGATTTTTTTTCTTTTAATCAATCAAATTTAATTTTTAAAATGTAACCATTTTGTGGGGCAGGAATCTGAAAAGGATTTAGCTGAGCAATTCTTGCTTAGGGTCCTTCTGGTGGTTCCAGTTGGGTGTTAGCAGAGGCTACAGTCATCTGAAGACTTGATTAGATGTCCCAGATGGCTTATTCATATAGTTGACATGTGTTACTGGATGATGGCTGGGAGGTTAGCTGGAGCTATTGACCAGGTGCCTACATATAGACTTTCTAGCATTACGATCTCAGTTTGGTTAGACTTCTTTCATGGAAGCAGTTTTTCCCAGAGTTAGAGTTCCAAGCCTCATCCTGTCCCTTTTTAATATCCCTTTCTTTAGTATAAATTCTTTGATGTTATATAAGGAGTGAGCTATGACTAAAGTCATGCTTATGACCATTTCATTTAAAGAGTTCTCATTCAATGTGAATTCCATGGTGTTGTGTATGATTTGAACTATGGCTATAAGCTTTTCCATATTCATGATTTTTATATATCCAACAAGATACATGACATAGGTAAAAGCTATCTCCTGTCCCCTTTACTGTACTCGTAGGGGTTTTCTCCAGTTAAAACTCTCTAATGCAAGAAAGCATGCTAGGAGCCTTCCTTGCCTTAGTATGATTTTTGATTTCAAATATGGCATTGCTGTGGCTAGAGGCAATCTCACATTTATTACATTTGTTTGATATTATTATTTTAGGCTGTGGCTAAAAGTCTTTGTACATGCATTATATTTGGATTCTCAGTTTCCACATTTGTAGTTTCCCTCTAGCATGAATTCTCTGGTTGGAACCACCACCATATTGCTAACATTCACAGTTGTTTTCCTTCAGAGAGAATTAACTCATGCTGTGAAAATTCTGAGTTGTTTGGTAGGATCTACCAAAGCTGACCAAACATACATATACTCTAGGACCCAGCAATTCCATCTCTACTATATACACATGAGAAATGACTATATGTACACCAAAAGACAAATATGTTCACAGAAGCACTATTTATTATGATCCTAAGCTGTAAACAATGAAAAAATCCACAGCAGTAGTTGGATAAACTGTAATTTAATCATATGATGGAATTCTATATAGAATGGAAATAAATGAACTTCTGCCACATGCGCTAATGATGAGTTTTAGAGACATAATGAGGAATGAAACAAGCCATATACACAATATATGATGTATAATCCAATTTATATAAAGAGAATACATGATGTATAATCCAATTTATATAAAGGTTCATAATATGCAAAACCTAATTTATGATGTTAGAAGTCATAACTGTGGTAAATTTTGAGGAAGTAACAACTAATTTTTACTTCATATTTGCAATGAGAAATACAGTTCACACTTCCTTTCTTTTAAAACACTTCTGATCACAGTGTGGTCCATGGACCACTGGCAGAACTGTTTATTACTGGGTCACAAGAATATATGTACTGAAATTGAAAATAAGCAATTTTAAATGTTTGTAGAAACTTGACAGAGGAAGTTTATGCCTGGTGAATCTAATAATAAAAAATTTAGGGTTGTATTTTCAATGACTTTTGTCATTAGTCATTCTTTTTGTGTTTTATAGGCTCACAAACAATAGGCAAATATGTGGTATAGTACCTTAAACTGTTATATACCAATATAGTTGCAAGCAACACCATGTACTATTTTATTTAAAGTTTACTATTACTTTAAGGTTTGACAAAAAAGTCGTATCCTTTACTGAATTCCCATGGTTTCTACCTTGTGAGTTTTCTGATGTACAATGAGGTTTGACTTACAACTGAAGAACTTCCCACATTCTTTACATTCATATGGTTTCTCTCCTGTGTGAGTTTTCTGGTGGCGAATGAGGTTTGATTTCCTACTAAAGGCTTTCCCACACTGAGGACATCCATTGGATTTCTCTCCTGTATGTATCCTCTGATGAACAGTGAGGATTGCCTTCTGGCGGAAGGACTTCCCACATTCATTACAAATGTAGGGTTTTTCCCCTGTATGAATTCTTTGATGGAGAGTGAGGGTTGTCTTTTGGCAGAAGGACTTCCCACATTCATTGCAAATATAGGGTTTCTCTCCTGTGTGAGTTCTCTGATGTACAGTGAGGGTTGTCTTCTGGATAAATGCCTTCCCACATTCATTACATTGATATGGTTTCTCTCCTGTGTGAGTTCTCTGATGATCAATGAGGTATGACTTCTTTCTAAAAGCACTTCCACACTGAGTACATTCATAGGCTTTCTCCCCTGTATGTGTTTTGTGATGTCTAGTGAGAGTTGCCTTCTGGCGGAAGGACTTCCCACAATCCATACAGATATAGGGTTTCCCCTCTATATGTGTTTTCTCATGAAGAGTGAGGGCTGTTTTTTGACGGAAGGCTTTTCCACATTGATTGCAAACGTAAGGTTTCTCACCTGTGTGAATTCGTTGATGTTCAATGAGATATGACTTCCTTCTAAAGCTGTTCCCACAGTAAGGACACTGAAAGGGTTTCTCTTCTGTTTGAGATCTCTGATGCATGATAAAAATGGACTTCCTGCAGAGGAACTTCCCATATTTGCTGTATGTATGGGGTTTCTTCTCAATAAGAGTTTGTGAATGGACACTGAGATTTGACTTTTCAATTAGGGCTATTCCATCTTTATTGTATTCAAGGGATTTTTCTCCTCTGTGAGCCCTAGTATGTGTAAATAACATTCCTTTCATAAGGAAGGATTTTTCACATTCATTATGATCTAATGATTGCTCTGGAGTTTGATCCTTCTGATGTTGAATAAGCTCTTGTTTACCACTCACACTCCTTTCTGTTTGTTTATAGAGATTCACTGTAGTATGAATTTTCTCATTCTTAGAATTGAGGAGTGATTTCTCCCATCCATTACTCTCACCAAACTTCTCTCTTCCAGGGCTTATATTTCTACTGACTAATTCTGAAATATTTTTAAAAACCTTTCCATCAGGCTTATATTCACATAGTGCTGTTTCTGAAATAATACAGTTCTTGCCTATAGTAAGTGTTTTCCCAAACATATTACTTCTTTCCTTAATTAGTCTTTTGTGGTTGAATATGACTGATCTAGAATGCCTGTCTTGGTATTCTTTGAACTTCACTAAAACATCTTCAGCTTTCCCATCTTCTTCTAGAAAAGAATACAATTAATAACACTGTAAGTCTTCACATAAATGTTATGGATTGAAAGTATATACAAACAACCTATTGAGTGACTGTATGCCTCACTATTGTGGTCTACAGAAAGGCCAAAATAAATTACCTCTTGGTAGGGAAAATTCATACGACATAAACCAAATCCTGCCATACTGTTAACATGTGGAAAAATTGGCGTAAGAAAAGAACACTCATGGGGCACCTGGGTGGCTTAGTCGGTTAGGTGTCAGACTCTTGATTTTGGCTCAGGTGGTGATCTCACAGTTGTGAGTTGTGCACACTGGCAGTGGAGAGCCTGCTTGGGATTCTTTCTCTCTGCCCTTCCCCTGCCTCCCCCCCCCAACATTCCTTTCTCTCAAAATAAACTTAAAATAAAAAGAAAACTCAAATTTTTGGCATATTATAAATACAATACCTGCGTTAAGCAGGTATAATAAACACAAGGATAAGTAAACAGAAGACAAAGGATGATGAAAATGACACTGTTCTTGAAATGGGCAGATTCAGAAATAATGGTGTGAGCTTATCAAGGGTACTAACCAGTGATCAAGAAAAATGTTCAGTTAGAGATGAAAGCCTAAATATTTATTCCCTTATGCCTAAATAAGTATTATAAAATACTTCCATTTGTTTCTTCCTCTCTTGCAAATGACTTTTCTCAAGCACTTATTTCCTAGTGTTGAGAGGAACACTAGGCCCTAACTCTCCACACAACTTATTTTCTCTTGAAAGGGAAGACTTTGGGAAATGTATTTCCATTAGGAATTGTAAAATAAACCAGAGGACAAAGCATACTTGAAATGTGAATATAATCACCATTGTATGCTGACTGCTGCTGCCAGAATGTTTATTATACTAAATTCTCCTGACCATCAATTCTAACTTTTCCTCCTTTCATTTGCTGAATTATTTTTCAGTTTTCAGGAAGGAGGAGTTTAAGTTTTCCTCCCAATGCAGTAACATACCTTAACTACACTACTCCCTATGGGGGATATGAATGACTGGATTCTTCAACTGTATGCTTATAATGCTGACTTACCCTCACTATCATTTTTCTTGTAAAATTTTGGCTATATCTTATTATTGTTACCTTACTACCACCCACGCCTAGTAGGGTAATTTTAAATATGGATTCATTTTACCCGTGACTTGCATCTTATTTACAAATAGCCCTTAACTGGTAACTGCCCAAGTATCCATCAAAAGGTAAATGGTAATATTGTGTCATGTATGTATAAAATGGAATACTATTCAGCAATAAAAAGGGAAAAACACCTAGTGATACACAATGACAAAACAGATGAATCACAAACATTTTTCAGAGTGAAAACTTTATGCGAAAGAGTATATATTATACAATTCCATTCATGTGTAATTCTAGAACACACTGAAACTAATCTGTATTAGTAACTGGAGTTATATCATCTTCCTGAGAACCTCAACCACCTTCAGGGGCATGCTACTATCCAATTTATCCAAAAACCTTCATATATTATTTCTATCCTTTAATGTCTAGTTTGTCTGAAATTAGATTATAATTATAGTCTGGACCATCCATTTAAAGAAATCTTTTAGGGGCATCTTGGTGGCTCAGTCAGTTAAGTGTCCGACTTCGGCTCAGGTCATGATCTCACAGCTTGTGAGTTCAAGCCCTGCGTCGGGCTCTGTGCCAACAGCTCAGAGCCTGGAGCCTGATTCATATTCTGTGTCTCCCTCTCTGTCCCTCACCCACTCATGCTGTCTCTTTCTCTCTCAAAAATAAATAAACATTAAAAAATTTTTAAAGAAATCTTTTAACAACCTGCTGTTTTAATATGAATATTATATGTAAAATGCTCCATTTGATAATATTGCCTTGCCAACTAAAACTTATGATCTTGGAAGTCAATATTTTATTGACTATTTTCTGAGTATACATTAACACATGGTTATCTGAGATAAAGGGATGTGATCTTGGCATGTATATTTAAAAGAACTTAATCATTAAATGATTTCTGAATGGATGAGAAAGATGTTTTCCTTGCATGGTATCAAAGAGAGTCAGGTAACTATTGAATATCTAGCCTTTGTTACAAGCTACAGTAAGGAAAAGTAAAAGAGAGAAACTTATTTGAGGGAATTGTTAATCAGATGGGGAAAGAAGTTTGATCATACCAGAGGATGCATCTGTTTACAGTTTACATACATAAGTAGAATATGAATGCAGCAAAAAAGGAATTGACATGGTCTGGAGGAGTCAAGGAACATCTCATGGAGGAAGTGAAACTTGATCTTTTAACTGAATGATATAGTAAAGAATATAACTTTGCTCAAAGAGACATCTGACATTTGCCTTTGGCTTCTGGGAAGTAATCTCTAAGCCCTTGGAATATGTATTTGTTTGCCTGGGAACCTTTGGCCAGCCAGAAAGTAACAATGTAATTTAGGGTGAGGTCTTTGAGCCACACCAACATTGTGATTTAGGGTGGGGGTTTTAGGTCACACAGTATTAGCTCGACTTCTTAAGGGGCTGAAAACTGAGATGGGCTACATGTATTGTTAATCATGCCTATGTGATGGAGCCTCAGTATGAACTCTGGACAATGGGCTCAGGTGAAGCTTCCCTGGTTGGCAATATTCTGTACGTATTGTCACACCAGCAAGTTAATGCTGTCTGTGACTCCATAGAGAGAGGTTTACCAGAAGCTTCATGTTTGGTACTTTCCTGGATTCTGCCCTTTATGTCTGGATGATTCTAATCTGTATTTTTTTCTTCTGTGATAAACCATAACTGTGAGTACTATGGCTTTTAGTAAGGTCTGTGAGTCCTTATAGCATATTGTTTATATTAGCAGTAGTCTTGGGGACCCCCAAACTTATAGTTGGTGTCAGAAGTAAGGTGGTCTTGTGTGTACTACTGTACCCTCTACCTTTGTAGTTGGATAACTGCAAGTATCTATATGGGTATATAGCAGCTGTCATATAATGAAAAGTCCAGTTGTGAGGAATGAAATCAATTGTATGAAGTATATCTGGGAGACTAGAACAAAGAGAGATGAGCAAGAGTTCTCAGTCACAGAGAGAAATAAATTTGGAGTGATCAGATGGGGTATTCTTCTATCAGCCCTTGAAAAAGAAGGGATTTAAATTTCATATAATAAGTAATTTCTTTTTGGCATATTGACAATATAAACTGAAAGAAGTGGGTAAAAATGATGGCAAATCCAAATAGTAATTACAGAAGTTACTGAAATAATATGCTCTCATTTTGGAAGAGGTCAGTAGCAAATGAGGATATGAGAGGATGTAAAGATATTTCACAAAGTGAAATAACACAAATTGTGGAGAGATCAAGTGTAGCAGAGGTGATGGAATCAACCTGATACTACAAGAGACTGACTATGGGGAAAAAAGGATATAGAAATAAGTAAGGATAAGGTAAACACAAGGATTATTATTTATGATATATCAATAACCAAAAGGATGAGATAACTGTTGTTGTGTTGCTATAGGCAGATGAAAATAGATACTAGAGTTCAGGTGGGAGAAGTGGGCTGAAAATGTGTGTTTGAAAGCCATTCACATAAAACAAGAAAATCACAACTTGAGAATGGATCAGATTATTATAGCTGATAGGACTTTTACAAAGGCAAGCACTGAGGATGAAGAAAGATCCTTAAAGCATAACAACAAGAGACCAGTGAAATAAAATCCATTTATCAACAAATATTTATTTTCCCAGGCAATAAGGGGGAAGAAAAGCAATGAACGTGTGAGAAGGCATCTGGGAAATACGTTAAGAATGAGTTAGTGTTTTTCACCCAGATCAAGGTGGGTAGGTATCAGGAATCTGAGCGCTATGATATGGAATACAGACACTTATTGGAAAGAAATTTATTGAAAAGAAGTGATACTAAACTATCACCTAGGTCCAAAGCATATTGATTTTGAAATTTGATGGCAGGTGTCATGGTGAGAATAGGATATGAGCCTGAGCACAAGAAACAGTTAAGACATTGCACAGGGAAAGAAAGGAAAGAATATGAAAACTAAGAGGAAGATAAATATTAGACAATGATTTCTCTTTTTGTGGAGAGATTTAAGAATGCCTATAAATAGAAGACTAAACAAAAGAAAGAGGACTGAAATGTTAAAGACATGAAAAACAAGCAGAAAGGCCTAAGCCAGCAGTTCCCGAAGTGTGACATGGATCTTAGTACGTGAGATCCTTATGCAGGAGAGTTTGGGAAGGTAGTCCACAAAATCAAAACTCTTTTTGTTAATAATAACAACCTTGTCTTTTATTTTTTTTAATTAATTTTTTTTCTCAACGTTTTTTATTTATTTTTGGGACAGAGAGAGGCAGAGCATGAACAGGGGAGGGGCAGAGAGAGAGGGAGACACAGAATCGGAAACAGGCTCCAGGCTCGGAGCCACCAGCCCAGAGCCCGACGCGGGGCTCGAACTCCAGGACCGCGAGATCGTGACCTGGCTGAAGTCGGACGCTTAACCGACTGCGCCACCCAGGCGCCCCAACCTTGTCTTTTAAAGGTGGGTGTCTCATTTGTACTTATGGAATTTTAATTTATGAAGATGGCTGAGTGATGACATAGGCTAATCTCATTGAAAGGAGATTTTCATTACATTTCCTTAGAGGAGAGGGCACACCATGCCTTGTAGGGCCACACAGAGGAGCAGCAGGCTTGGTCAGGACACAGAAAGGAGAGAGGGGAAAGCCTATGCGAGAGCCTTTTGTGGGACCTGCTTGCATGGGAAAGGCAAGGCAGGGTAGGAGAAACAGTTTAGGATTGGCTTTTTAGAGTAGTGTTGGAGGCTATGCGTCTGTAGTTGTATGGTACCTAGTCCTGGGTGATTTAGGACACAGGAAGTGTTGGCTCAGTGTGTGAGAGTTAGATAAAGCACATGGTTGAGGGGATGGACTTGGGATTGGTTGGTTTTTATATAAAATGTAGGCTCACCAACAGGTGGTTTACCATCCCTACGAAATCAGCCAGCTCTAGGAGGGGCAATCTCTCCCCAGCCAGCAAGGCCCTCCAAAGTTTCAAAATATCATAAAATATAGAAGATAAAAAAATGATTAATACAGTGGGTAAAATGCAGGCACATCAACATAACACTGGCACCAATCTATAATAGTAACAACTACATTTCTAATTCATAGGGAAAAAGTTTCATGTAAGACTGTTCTTGATAGAGCAGGAGAAAAAAATCACTTTTATTAGATCTCCACCCTCGAGTACACATATTTTCAATATTCTGTGTGATAGTTAAAGAAGTATGCATAAGGCACTTCTGTTGCATATCAAATTATAATATATTTTGTAAGGAAAAGTGACGGTGTAATTATTTGAGCTGAGAACTGAAAACAGGGGCCTACCCCTGCCATCCCACCATATCCAAAAAAAATGTTCCTGTGAAATGTTTCATAAGTTGAGATGGCATAAAGTGAAGAAGCAAATACCAATAACTTATATGGGAAAACTCTTAAGTGTTCCCAGATCTAAAAAATAACCTGTCTTTGGCTTTTCTGACACATCTTGTTAATGGATGTGTAAAATAAATTGAGATAAAGCAAAGATGCTCACAGACCATAGTTCAAAGCTATGGTAGCTTGATGCTGTGAAGCTGAGTGCAATTCCTGGGAAGGAGCTTAGCAGTGCCTTTATAGGTAGTTCACTGCAAAACAAGCACTGAAAGCTGGTTTTGCATTTCACCTTTTTTTGTAAAAGCAAAAATCATCTTTGGATTTCTTTTGGTTAGTGAAAACAGGTACGAATGGAGGTCTCTAGTAAAAACAAAGTGGCATAACACAAACTTTCAAAAAACGGGATATCTGTATCTTTTTGTGGAATAGCATTTTTACTTAGTAAAACTATTATTCAGATGTGGGTATCTGGTAGACATTTTCTTGAACAATGTGAACCTATCAATTCAAGAGAAAACTTGTGCCAATATTTGTTACCAATGATAAAATCCAAGCTTTCAGGTAAAGGCTGTTATGTTGGAAAGCTTGTATTTGCTACTGTGAGCTTGTCAGCTTCCCAACAGACTTTTCTGATGACGTTGGTGATGATATTAACACATGTGGGTTATGGATTTTTTCAAGTAATATTGTATATGAGAATATGTCAAAATTTGGAAAATGTTCTGTTAGTGAACTGTTACTTTCCAAATGACTAATATATAATATTATAAAAAAAAATGCCTGGGTAAAATATCCATTTAAATAGACCACTGGGGGGAACCTGGGTGGCTCAGTCGGTTGAGTGTCTGACTTTCCTCAGGTCATGATCTCTTGGTTTGTGAGTTCGAGCCCCACATTGGGCTCTGTGCTGACAGCTTGGGGCCTGGAGCCTGCTTCGGATTCTGTGGCTCCCTCTCTCTCTGCCCCTCCCCTGCTCATGCTCTGTCTCTCAATAATAAATAAACGTTAAAAAAAAGTTTTTTAAATAGACCATCGGATTTTACATAACAGTCTACAAAAGTTCATTGCTATGGTTTCAGATTCTGTATTGCAACTAATTGTTTAGGAACTACCAATTATTACATTTGGGTGTGGTATTAATGAAGAATATCCATGACAATCTAAGAAGGCTTTTTAAATATTTTCTTTCAAACTACATACAATGCATGAAGGAAGGTTTTCTTCATATTTTCAAAATCAAACAACATTTTGCAACAAATGGAATGCAGAATCAGATGTGAAAATCAGCTGTTTATTAAGCAAGATATTAAATAAATTTTAATTATGTAACAATTCCACTTTTGTCAGTATTTTTTTTCTTTTGGGAAATAGTTATTTTTTGTAAAAATATGATTTTATGTCAACATGCAATGAGTTTATTGTTTTTATATTGTATTAAAATGAATTAGTAAATGAGTGGTGAAAAATATTTAATTTCTAATAGGGTACACATACACATATGCACAAAATTCTTTTAATCCTTAATAATTTAAAAATATTAACAAATCCCAAGACTAAAAAGTTTGAGAAACTGCTCAACTAGACATCCAGATTCTGGTAATGGCAAAGAAGTTTGTATCAAAACAACCTTCCAGCTGGTATGATAAACTGTGGACCAACTGTAAAAGACCAATTTGTTTTGGAAAGCACCTCTAACGAGTGATCAAAAGGAGGCAAAAACTTAAGTGGATATAACATTTGAAAAGGAAGAAACCACACTTCATAAGATCTACATTTATCCAGATATTCCATTGTGGGCCCTGGTAGTTTATGCAGCACCCAGGGGATAGATTTCTGGGGGAAAGTAGGAGTCATCCTGTGCAGAAAAATCTGAGATCAAGTTCGGGGTCACTAGAGTGGCTATAAATTGAGGACAAAATCTGAGAATGGAGAAGTCATTCTGAGAATGGAGAAGTCATAGAAGGAGAACCCCAAAGATAGTATAAACCCCTCCTCAAAACCTTGGTTAACTGCATCTTCAGGGCAAGACTGCAAGAAGCACAAAGGGAAAAGAAAGCTGGAACACTGAAAGAACTGATTACAGATTTCAGCAGCTGTTTACCTTTGGGAAAAAAGGGTTGGTTTTTTTTTAACATTTTTAAAAAATTTATTTATTTTGAGAGACAGAGCAGGAGTGGGGGAGGAACAGAGAGAGAGGGGGAGACACAGAATCTGAAGCACACTCCAGGCTCTGAGCCCGAAGTGGGTCTCAAACCCACGAACCATGAGATTGTGACCTGAGCCAAAGTCGGACGCTCAACCGACTGAGTCACCCAGGAACCCCTGGAAAAACAGTTTTTAATTCTGGTCCTGTGCCAAGTCCGAGGAATCTGGTGAGAGGAACCTTTGGTCTTTGTACTGAAACCCCAGAATGACCATGTATAAGAGCAAAGCCTGCATCCCAGCACTAAGAGAAACAGCATAAAGCTAAAGGCAAAATTGAAACTGAAATAGAAATCATCTAAAAAACTTAAAAGCAATCTTAAAAAAGGAATCAACATGAGCCACCAGTAACTTAACTGCCTTACAAGTGAAATCTCAACAATCTTCAGAGGCAGAAAAAGAATCCAGTATCTTGACAACATATTATCTACAAGGTTTTCCTGAGAAGAAACAGGAAATGTGATGAAGAGAAGATAAAAACCAGTTAATAGAATCACACTGATATATGTCCCCTATGTTGAAATTACAAGATAAGGAATTTAAAATAACCATGATAAATATGTTTACAAAATCTACAAGAAAAGATAGAAATATGGGTGAAGAGATGGAGAGTTCAGGAGAGATAAGGATATGCAAACTTTAAAAACCTCATATCTTAAATACAAAATTCATTGGATGGGTTTAACAGCATAGAACATAGAGAATGAAGAATCGGTAAAGTGAAAGTCTGATTAACAGAAATTACCCAAATCATAAAATCGTTTTAACTCCTTAATAAACTCTACAGAGGATAGGTTAAAATTATTTAAAATATAACCGAGAACAGAGCAGAAAAATAATCATAGAAATGTTGGCCAAAATTTCTTCAAATTTGCTCTAAAACAAGAACTCAGTGAATGTGCTAAATTCACTTACTAGTTCTAACAGTTCGTTTTAGATTCCTTAGGATTTATTATGTACACAAGCATGTCATGTACAAATGAAGATAGTTCCCTCTTTTTTTTTTAAATTGTTCTAATTGGTAGCCTTTTGGCTTCTTTTTCTTGCCTTATTGTACTGATTGTGTCTAGCACAATGTTGATTTTCTAAATTTTTTTTAATGTTTATTTATTTTTGAGACAGGGAGAGACAGAGCATGAACGGGGGAGGGTCAGAGAGAGAGGGAGACACAGAATCTGAAACAGGCTCCAGGCTCTGAGCTGTCAGCCCAGAGCCCGACGTGGGGCTCGAACTCACAGACCGCGAGATCATGACCTGAGCCGAAGTCGGACGCTTAACTGACTGAGCCACCCAGGCGCCCCACAATGTTTAACAGAAGCAGTGATAGTGGGCATCTTTTCTGGTTTTGATCTTAGAAGAAAAGCATTCAGGCTTTCTATACTGCATGTGATACTGGCTATAAGATTTTCAAAGATATCCTTTATGAAGCTGAGGAAATTCCCTTTGGTTGCTAATCTGGTCTAAGGCTTCATAATAGTAACTGAATTTAATGATTTTCCCATGTCTACTGATGCTCCTTAAAATTTTTTTTTCTAGTTACATTAAGTGGAAGCTTAGATCCTTGGTTTTAGACCCCTTTTCACTTTTATATGGTGAATTACATAGATTGATTTTTATCTTTTTTTTTTTAAATTTTTTTTTTAACATTTATTTATTTTTGAGACAGAGTGCGACAGAGCATGAATGGGGGGAGGGCCAGAGAGAGAGGGAGACACAGAATCTGAAGCAGGCTCCAGGCTCTGAGCTGTTGGCACAGAGCCTGATGCGGGGCTCAAACTCACGGACCGTGAGATAGTGACCTGAGCGAAGTCGGACGCTCAACTGACTGAGCCACCCAGGCGCCCCTAGATTGATTTTTAAATACCAAATCATCTTTGCTTTCCTGGGATAAGCTCTTTTTAGTCATAAGGTTTTATCCTTTTAAAATATTGCTAGATTCTGTTTTATAATATTTATTATATATATATTTTATTATAGATTTTTTCTAGCTTCATGGAGGATGTTGGTGTTTAGTTTTTTATTCTTATAGTGCCTTTGGTTGTAAATAATGTTGGCCTTATAAAATGAGTTGGGAAATGTTCTCTCCTATTTATTGACATAAAATTGTAGACTCCCTAATTGTCCTTTTAATGTCTGTAGGATCTGTAGTGGTGCAGCTTCTGTAATTTTTTTGTTTGTTTATTTTCTTTCTTTTTTTTTCTTTTTTTTTTTTTTCCAACGTTTATTTATTATTTTTGGGACAGAGAGAGACAGAGCATGAACGGGGGAGGGGCAGAGAGAGAGGGAGACACAGAATCGGAAACAGGCTCCAGGCTCTGAGCCATCAGCCCAGAGCCTGACGCGGGGCTCGAACTCCCAGACCGCGAGATCGTGACCTGGCTGAAGTCGGACGCTTAACCGACTGCGCCACCCAGGCGCCCCTGTTTATTTTTGAGAGAGAGAGAGACGGAGCATGAGCAGGGGATGGGCAGGGAGAAAGGAAGACACAGAATCCAAAGCAGGCTCCAGGCTCTGATCTGTCAGCACAGAGCCCAACGCGGGGCTTGAACTTGTGTCACGAGATCATGACCTGAACTGAAATCAGATGCTTAACCAACTGAGCCACCCAGGTGCCCCACAGCCTCTGTAATTTTTAATTAGTGACTGTGTCTTGTATTTTTTATTAGTACATATAGCTATGGTTTATTAGTTTTATCAATTATTTTAATGAATCAGCTTTTGTCTTCACTCATTTTCTCTATTGTACTTCTGTTATGTAATTCATTGATTTTTGCTTTGGTCTTTATTTTTTCCATTTTACTAGCTTTTTTTTTTAAGTTTATTTATTTAAGTAATCTCTACACCTAACGT